TACAACTGAGTGCATTGGGAGTAGTCCTGCCTCAGGGTAGGTGCACACAGGGTTCCACATCACTGCCACCCACCTTTGACCAACTTATAGGACCCATCTTCCTCAATCCTCCCCTTCCCTGCAGCATACACCAGGAATTCCTCAAGTCTTTAATTAGGCACAGTAAATAACAAATCCCAGCTGCTGTGTTCAGTCCCCTAGAAAAGCAGTGCTGAAGGTAATGTAGATTTGTTTGGAAAAAAGAAAACCACTCTGTCAATGTGGCCAAAAGGGAACCTTCCTCTGGAATCTTCCTGGGCTGCATCTAATACTCATTTTTTGGACTGCCTTAGCTGCTTTGGTTTTTGTGTGCGTGTGAGTGACGCATGTAATGGATTATATTTGTTCAATGCAGGATTCCTAATTGAAAGCAGTTTTTCAATACCATAAGCAAATAAAACACTATTTGAAATGAGGAAAAAAAAAATCGTGTGTGTGTGTGTGTGTTAACCTTCCGGGGAACTAAAACTTTTTATGCCTTTTTTTAATTAAATGAAAATCAAGATTAAGTTATAAATCCTTGAAAGAACAGGGGTTTATAATTGAAATTTCGGCAGATTGCTTGCCAAAAACAATGCAGAAAGATGGTTTCATTTTAGTTGTGCCTTTTCAATTGAGTATTTTTAACTAAACAGTATGTGAGGAATTTCCACATAGTTACCTTCTAACCCTAAAATAATAAGTCATTACCCTTGGGGGGGACACCATGTAAGGCACTGGACAAATTTTGAAGAATCCAGAAATCGTTCTTGCTAAAACATCCTTTGCATAAAATAGACTTGAACTAATATGCTGATTTTTTTTTTTTTTTAAACATTTTCAGATAGCAAAATTACTCAATGGGAAGACCCAAGACTGCAGAACCCAGCCATCACTGGCCCGGTCAGTATTCTCGAACTCTGACCCTTCAGTATAAGCTTTTGATTTCATCTACATATGCATCTCTTGTGCGTGACCGATTACCGTGATGCCAGGGACAGGAGTGAATGAGTTGTTTAACATTCCTCTTCCTCACCAAAGTTTCCAGGTGGGGTCCAGCTCAGTGTGCCTTTTCATGGGATGTTCATTGTGAAGGAAAAGAATATGGTTTGATTCATGGTAACAGAATGAAGTGTTTTTCATTCTCCTTTGTAAAAGGGTGGTTTAAAAGTATAACTAAAATTTTCTCCCTTTCTCCTTCTCTGATGCAAAGCCAGGCCTCTCTTTTGTAGAGCGTTGTCATTTCTTTAAGCCACAGTTAGTAAATATGCACTAATAAATTTACATCTCTTCCAACTTTAAACATCTGTAGGCGTTTGGATGAGGTGGTTGCTACCTTGGGGGAACTGGCAGTTAAGGATCTTTAACTCTGCTGACCCACTCACTTTCTCACAGCTGTGCCTGAATACGAACTTTGTGGCTTTAATCTGATTCAGTTCAAATTATATTTTAAATGAAGATATGTCTATCTGAAAACTTCAGAGATGCTGCAGGGCCAATGTGCATTGAGGACTGACATCCTCTGGCCGTTTGGTTTTGGTTTTGGTACTGGGGATTGAACCCAGGGGTGCTTTAACATCAAGCCACACCCCCAGCCCTTTTTATTTTTTGAGACAGTGTCTCTCTGAATTGAATACAGCCTCACTAGTTGCTGTGGGTGACCTCTAGCTGGCAATCCTCCTGCCTCAGCCTCCTGAGTCACTGGGATTTACAGGTATGAGCCACTGGATCTGACTCCTCTGACCTTTTTTTTTTTTTAATTATTTCATTGAATTTGTTCAGCTATTTTGATACTATTCCCTCTATAAAATGCCCCCAATACAAATACTTTTTTCTCTCTATAGTCTAAAAAACACTGCCGTGCTTTGATAGCTTCTTTTTTCATATTCACACTAAAATTGATTATTAGAATGGTATTTCCCTTCTCCATTATTAAAAACAAGGCAAATTCAAGAAACAATGTTGTCTGCAATTGAAAGAAGATGGTTCACATGATAATGTTGAAGTTTTCACTATTTTTTTTTACCACTTATCAGTCACCCACCTTCACTCAGAACACTACTCCTTTTTATTTATTAATTATCAGTGAAAATTATTTAGCATTATAAATTCAGGTGCGTTTGCTCCCAAGCAAGATATCTATTTTTTCTGTTTTCTGTTAATAAAGGAGACTTGCTTGCTTTTTTTTTTTATTGTTATTAGTGATACTGCTTTCAGTAGGTATATGTGTATTTAGGTATTTGCCAACTTGGGGTAGATGTTTGGCTCTACTATTCAGTTCTAAATATTGGGCAGTTTACGTATGATTTTTCTCCTTGATTTTGTAAATATTTAGCATCTCCTTTTCAGCATGGATTAAAAGGGGTTTTGCCTATGCACCTCTTATTTCCAGTTGTATTTTTGCATTGTTAAGGGAATATTGTTAGGTATTTGAGACATAATGGAGGTCTGGGGGTTTTTGTGTGAGTGTTCTTTTTGTGTTTTTAAGAAATATGTAGTGTCTTTCTGGATGTAGAGTTCTTGATGTGTGCATTAGGTCCAGGTTGTGATGTTTAAATTATCCAGATCCTTACTACCTTTTTCCTGATTGTCTGATCCACTCAAGGTTTGTATCAAAATCTCCACAGTGATTGATGCTATGTGAGTTTTGTTGGTTTGTGTAATTACACTCACTTTCTCTCTTCCTTGGTGTTTGCATGGTGTATGTTTTCTATCTCTTGCAGTTTTTCTCCTCCTTTCTTGCCAAGTGATAAGAGTATAAACAAATTTCTTGGCCCACCATTGGCTCTTGTCTCCATTGTTTCCCAAAGTTTTCACGGAAGTGCACAGTGCACTTGTGGTTCTGAGTGTGTGGTCTGCAGGGCACAGGCCTCTTCTGGGAACTTTTTTTGAAATGCATGTTTTCAGGTCCCACTCCAGATCCATTGACTCAACAGCTTGGGGTGGACAGCAGTCTCTGTTTTATGGAGCTCTCAAGGTGAGAGCCTCTGCCCAGCAGCACCACCAGTGAGCTGGAGTGGGGACCTCTTGGTCTTCCACTCTCAATGTCTGGTTGGACCTCTTTCAAGGTGAAGTTCAGCTGGTGAAAGAATTGTCATTTAGTTTCCTTCAGTACTTTGGAGACATTCTCGCTTGTCTTCTGGCTTCCATACTGATGGCAAGAAGTCTGTCAACCTGTCATTTCTGTGTGGGTAAATAGCTCTGTTCTCTGGTGACTTTGAATTTTTTCTCTTTGCCTTTGGTGTCCTTGAATTTCACTATGATGTATATATGTGTGGATTTCTCTCTGTTTATCCTGCTTTGGGCTCAAGATTTTTCAACACAGGGAATCATATCTGCTCTCTTCCAGAAAATTCTCAGCTGTTGTTTCTTCACATACTGTTATGTTTTCATCCTCGGTAGATCTGTTGTTTGGGGCAGTACTGGGAATCGGGATCTTGCTAAGTTGCTGAGGCTGACCTTATACTTGCGAGGCTCCTGCCTCAGCTTCCCAAGTGTGTGCCACCGCACCAAGCTCCAAGTCTGTTTTTGGAACTGCTGACTGGGCCTTTGGTTTTCTCGCATATTGTCCTTCTTGTCTCTTAACTTTCACATTCTCTCTTGCGAGCACTATCACTGCCATACTGTGAATTACGACTTAGTTCTACCAGTGAATTCTTTTTTAAAGTTTTTATAGAATCTATTCTTTATCTGTTCATCGTATCTATTATTTCAGTGACTGTTTACTTGCTCCAAGTTCTATTTAATGGTCTTTTAAATTTTGCTTTTTTAATTCATTCATCTCCTTTACCATTTTAAAAACACGTATTTAGTATGTCTTTTGGGGTTATTTTCTTATATCTGGTCCTGAGGCATTAAATCTCCTACTCATTGTCTATATTCTCCTTAACGGTAGTTTATTTTGTGTATGGGTGGGGAGTGTTTTCATCTTCAATTTCTTTCTAGGTGGCTTTTGTGAATCCTGACCTGTCTTTATAAAGTCAACGTGTTAGCCTGGGTTCATGCCACTCAGTTAGGATAACTGAACCTCATAACAGGTTTGGAGTATGGGTTTATTACAGGCCTGTTTCTTTTGGTTTTTCTCCCATTTGTGGTCCCAGATAGGTTAGCCTCTTTCAGTGTCTCTTGGCCAATAGATACTTTTCTTTTCCCCACTAAGATGTTAGGGTCTAAACAGACAACTCTGCTCTGGCACCTGGAACATATAGACTGTTGACAAAATTGTGTGTCCCTGTGGGAAAAAGATGAACAACTAAACACACCTGTGTATCTGGGTCCAGTGCCCCCTTGTTCCTCTGAGCCCTACTGCTTATGGGATGCCCATACCCTCTCTTTTTCCCCAAGTTTTCAGAATCTTAGCTCTGAATTGATCCAGCATTCACACACATTTGTCAGATGAGGAGAGACCCTTTCTGTGGTGGCTCAGTGTACAGCAGTTCTCAGAAGTTAGGATGTGCTCTCTCTGACGGATGCGTCGGTAGCGCCGTTAAGTGCTGTCCATGCATGCTGCTAGAAGGAAGGCCATCTCAAGGACTGTCAGCTGATTGGGAACCCCCAGCAATGTCCTCGGGGCAGGTGTTATCACCAGCTCACTAGAAGCTCAGAAAGCTAATTGTGTTGTTGCCAATTCCCACAATGTCAGAACAAAGCCTAGAGCCCCGGTGTTCTGGCATCACTAGTATCTACCTCCACAAGCCTTTTTGGTCCAGGATCGCCCAGAATAGAATGACACAAAATATTTAGAACGGACCTACACAGTCGGCTAGGTTTCACACTACCAAGAAGAGAACATTTTCAAAGCAGAGCCAAAGGGCTAAATTCACAGGTATGTTAATTTTTCACATAGGTGTGTTTTACAAGTTAAATTGTATGCAAGAAAATGAGATGCCAGGTTTTCATGAGAGAACAAATCATTTGGTGTGTCTGATGCAAGAAACATACACGTAATTCTCTTCAGAAGCTGCTGCGTATGGCCATCTCTGTCCTGGTATGCAGTTGGAATCTTTGCAGGAGATTTTTCCATCTTGAGAAATACCTTTGAGAGGAAGGACAGTTAGCACTGGAGGAGAATGATGTTTGTTCAACTTTCTTGCACCATCCCCCAGAAGAAGAAAGACCAAAGACCAGAAATATCTCAGCTTCCTATTTCCACCCACACCTAGTCAGCACCTGCTGGTTACAAGGCAAGCACAAGAATGGATGTCACGGTGGGGGCCAACATTTTGAAATCTGTTCCTTGGGAAATTTGTCACCTTTTAAATGCTATTGAGCTTTTCTGTAACCAGTGATGAATATTAAAGCTTTTTTTCAACATTTGGGAAGGGGGCAAAAAAAAATAATAATAATTGCTGGGAATCAGACATTTAGAAATGAAAGAGCCCGAAGCTGCTCAACCATGGAGACGTTCCTTAGCAGAGAGGACATGTCACAGAACTGGCTGGTGGCAGCATCTTCCTAAAATTCAGGTGGTCTATGCCTGTCCTTAGAGAACGGAAGGAAGTCACATCTTCAATTTAATTCCCCTCAGTCACAGTCCTAGCTGAAGGCATCAACCAAAGGCTTTCCCTCCTCAGGATTTGGTACTCGCTGTCAGTGGCCTGTTCCCTTTGCTCAGAGGTCCCCCAGAGCTGCCCTTCCTGACCACCTCACACAGAACTGAACTCTGCCTTGGATGGATGGTTGTTTTTCTCCCTCGTGATACCTGCATTTGTTGATCCTGATATTTCTCGCTGCCTGTCGGCCCCAACAGCTTGTTAGCCTCCAGTTAACTGGGAACTGGAAAAGGACCTTTTTCATTATGTACCATTATTCCCTTCACACTTAAAATGCCTTGCACACCTTGCACAGAGTCGGGCTCAGGAAATGTCTGTTGAACAAATGAACAAGTGAACCACCAAAAAGTGATACATGGATTTTAATTGGTGATGGAGTGTGGTATTGGTAGAGCAGAGAAAACCATGTCTTTGTTAGCATAAGAACGTTGTATCCTCATCTGTACATGGATGGTTGTCCACGTAATTGACAAGAGTCAGGATTCATACCTGAAGGCTGAGGACGTGGCTCAGCATAGACACTCGCCTAACCTGCGTGAAGCCCTGCATTTAGTCCCAGCACCACCACCCTCATCCACACACGAGGAGAAAACACATGATTTCCTCAGATTAAACATTGCCAGAACACATGGGATGTATGGTCGGCTGTCCTGATCAGTGGAAAACTCAAATGAAGTGGATGGGCCTGAAAACTTAGGACAGGCCCTAGGCAGTATGACTCTTCTGTAGAATGTTCTTAAGGTATATATGTATGATGTCTTCATTGCTCTTGAATTCAAAACAAATGACCTGAACATTTTCCATAGGGAATGATCATTTGTTTTTGTTTCATGAATTATTTGTTTAATCTTATGAAATGGAGGGTGAAGGACAGAAGCATTTGCTCTTTGTTTTCTCTCTTTATGGTCAAGAATAAGCATGACAATAGTCTGGAGACATTTTCCTGAGAATTGGCATATTTTATTAACTTAGCCTTAAATGATAGCAGCATAAGTATTTGCTTCCTAGAGTTATACTGTTCATTAAAAAGCAGTGAGTTTCCTCTTGTGAGGTGGGTGCTAGTGTCTCTGTGTATATGCAGAAGACAGTCTATTCTGCTTCATTTAAAAAAAAAACTAGGAGCCTTTTCAATAGACTAGTCAGGCTCTGCCTCTAAGCTGCTTTCCAGAGAGCAAATAAGGGCTATGTAAATGGTACATAAAAATGTTATTACTCTGCCTGAAGAGACACCAGAACTTTTGAATAGTTTCAGCTGACTCGGATGTTAGCCCACCCTGTGGAGCCATCCCTGTGCTTCATAGAGAAGGCTTTTGAGGTTGACAGAAATCCTCATCCAGGAACCCTGAGTAGGGGGCACCGCTGGTGACTCCTCTGTGGAGGTCTTCCCAGAGCGCCATCTGCCCCACCACGTTCCTCGCCAAGGGTGTTAATTCACTTTTCTTTCTACCCGTGGTATTTCCCCCAGAGGCTTTAAAAGCATGAATAGACTTTTTCAAAATGCCCAGTATAGGTCTTTTTGAGTTGTGTGTGAAAACATCAAGAACAATAACTCTTAACAGGGGAAATATGTATTTATATCCCAGTGGCTTGAGAGGCTGAGGCAAGAGGATGGAAAGTTCAAAGCCAGCCTCAGAAAAAGCGAGGTGCCAAGCAACTCAGGGAGACCCTGTCTCTAAATAAAATACAAAATAGGGCTGGGGAAGTGGCTCAGTGGTTGAGTGCCCCAGAGTTCAATCCCCCATACCCCCAAAATATTTATATGCACATATATTTGTATGTCTATATTTTAGAGTCTGATGAAAATCACATAGAAAGCATATTTAGTTTGTGCAGCACACCCAAAGTGATTTCTTCAGTGTGAAGACAAATGTTTTCGGGGCTGAAAGCCCCATTCTGTGCCGATTAGTCCTAAGACTTTCCCATGTGCTGCGTAGACATTATGTAAATGTGCTATGAAAAATATGGGAAGTAAGTATTTAAGGTTTATGATTCATGAAACTCCCTGAATGTTGGCTCGGTGTACATAAATTTCAAGCAAATTGTTTGCATTGTCTATATTTATAAATTTATCTTCCAGGCTGTTCCATACTCCAGAGAATTTAAGCAGAAATATGACTACTTTAGGAAGAAATTAAAGAAACCTGTGAGTAATCTTCTCTTCTCAAAAATGCTGTGTTTGGGTCGTCTGTGAGCTGCCAGAGTTACTCAGAACACCCCATTTGTTGCTTTTACGTGGATACTAAAAATATTACCTTCCCTTTTTTACTGCACTTTGATCCACCTGGATCTTCAATCTGAATTTTCTTTTTAACAGAAATGGTAAGTGGAAATTGACTCAGTATTACATATCAAATCACCTGATGGGTAATTTCTTATGGAATACCTAAAAAGATAGAAATTACTTTTGTGGGATATAAAATAATTCATGACTGCAGTCACAAAATCTGAGGAAGCCCATACGGTTGCATATGGTTGTCGTATTTTAGACAATCTACATCCAGGTTTTAAAAGTGTTCAAGTCCTTCGCTTTAAATTCAGAAGTATAGTTTTAACTACTAACATTTATAAATTATGTAACAAATAATTATAATACTTGGCAGGCTTAGCGTAATTGTTTTTTTATTGCAATTCTCAGTGGCAGTTCACAACCCAGAAACCCTGTAAGGTTTTTACCAGCGGTGCTGCAAATTACAGTGTTACTTACCACTGACCCATCACCCCCAAGTCCTTCCACTTGTGCCTCTTGTGCTAGTTCTGATGGGACTACTCCAGTTTCAGTCTTTCAGTTGTGACATCACTGGGAAAGGAGAGTCCACTGATTGCCCAGCTCACACGGTTTGAAAGGTCTGTCCTCCTCTCCCTGGGCATGCTCCCAGGTGATGCCTGGAGTTCTGGGCATCCGCTGGGATGAAGCACAGAAGGCCTTGTCCTCACTGTGTCCCGGATCACTCCATCTGTGGTTCAAGTGCCTCACTATAACTACTTTCCAAATGACTCTCTGTTCTTCAGGGCTCACATGAGAACACGTGTCCTCCAGTATCAGAAATGACTTGGTGGCTTTGGCTCAGTCTCACATTTGCACGGCTGTGCTCTGCTCAGCCCCATTCTTAGGGCAAGGCCAGCCCTGGACCTCATTCTTCTAGGAGGTGGTTCTCTCGGCCCAAACTTAAGCAGAATCAGGGTCGCACTCCCCATGACAAATGAACTCGGAGGCCTTGTGGATCATATTTACCACCTGTGGTCCCTATCAGATATGCAAATGGTCCGAGCCTGGCCAGGTGGGGATTATTTGTAGGTTCTGGTGACCTGTCCTTGATTGAAACCATACATGGAGCTGGCCATTCACTTGCTAGTATTGGAGAAGTGCCCACACTGTTTGTCCAGGGTACAAGGATGATTTCCTTGTGCTCAGCAGGTTTTCTTCTACAGCGTCATGGCTGACTCAGCTGCACGTAGATGCCCTGTGTGCCCCATGTTGACACAGTGAGGATTCTGTCTGTGGGAGGGGGAATCCATAAAGGAGAGAATCTCAGTTGGAACCACTTGTCCCTGCACGTTTATTTGAAGCCTGCCATCACTCACTCGACCTTTTTTTGTTTTTCCCCCTGAGAAAGCAAGGTACATATTTACTATATCATCCTGAGCTGCTTCTTTTTTCTTTTGTGTAGGCTGATATTCCAAACAGGTTTGAAATGAAACTACACAGAAATAACATATTTGAAGAGTCCTACCGGAGAATCATGTCTGTAAAAAGACCCGATGTCCTAAAAGCTAGACTGTGGATTGAATTTGAATCTGAGAAAGGTCTAGACTATGGGGGCGTGGCCAGAGAATGGTTCTTCTTGCTGTCCAAGGAGATGTTCAACCCCTACTATGGTCTCTTCGAGTACTCTGCAACGTAAGTATGGAGTACATTCAGAATTGGGTCCCACAGAGATGGTTTTATCCTTAATGAATTTAAACTCATTGGGACAATCAATTAATCACTCATTTGAAATGAATCGATGCCCAATTCCATCCCTCCTCATCCCGCCATCTCCTGCAAGTCTGGATCAGGCTCTCACTCTACCTGGTGAAATAATGTACTCCATAAACACCTAAAGTTGGATTCTTCTCTTGTCTGTTGGGTTCCTGGAATTGAAATTGAAAACGTGTTGGGTAATTATGGTAAGGAACAAGAGGCAATTTTCATTTGTAATGTTCCTTTATTTCAAGAGGAGAATTCATCTGAGTCAGAATTCAGAAAGCGTCATTACATGAACGAGAACAGTCTCTGAAGTCGTACTTATAAAGGCAAATTATGAAGACTCTGAGAACTCGTGCTTGGGACGCGAAAGGACCCTACCCTGGTCCTGAAAGGGAAGAACCAGGCTGCCCCTTGCATTAGGATTTCGTCTCTACCAGGCATGGAAAACTGAGACAGATTGAATTGCTTTCTCAACTCATGTTGGCGACTAGCAAGGCCAACCATTTCTCTCCAGGCTGAGGAACCTTGAAAGTCGAAGGCTGACCTCAGCTACCAGGAGAATGGTTGTGGCCCTTTCCAAGAGGCATTGAGCATTGGTCCTGGGCTTTTAGGAGGACATGTGTTTCTGCTGATGCTTCCCAGGCCACCTGTCTCTTAGTAGCTCATTTAGAAGACAACCTCAGTACATCCTTCTTGGTGGATCTAGCCAAGAATTGCCCAGTGGTGATGGTGGTTGTTACTGAGTCCTTGAAAAAGCCCATTGTGTAATTGATGGAAACCACTGAAGTGGAGGGCAGGATAGGAGGCAAGATCCTCACCTCTCACCCATATGCTCTAAGATGCACCCTGGAGGAACCTGTCCATGAAGTCCAGTTTGAAAAACACTGATCCTCCTCATCATTAGATCAAAGCAGGACCCTTGGGTGCATACAGGCATCTTGAGGCTTGCCTTGTTGAGTTGCTTGGGTCCTGCCTGGTGCTCTTGAGGGCTTTTCAGGACAGAGTGATGGTTGTATTAACCAAGTTTGGGTCCTGCAGGGAAAAAAATCTTAGCCTCTGGAATAAGTTGGCCTCTGTCATGGAGAGGATCTGAAGGGCAGGTGCTGTAGGAGCCCCTGCTCAGCCCCTTCATCACGCAGCCCATCTCATGTTCCCCAGATGCTTGCTGACATCGTTATGGACCCCACGTAGGCAAACAGCAGCTTCTGAAGATCTCTCACTGTGCCTGGCTTGAGTGTCTACGGGAGCAGGCCTCAGCAGCTGGGCCCAGAGGAGGCTGCCTGGATGCTGAGTCCCAGCTTCCTATCACACCTTTTCCCACCAGGTGTGGGACATTTGCCAGAGCACCGCAGGAGCCGAATGACAAATGGCAAAGAAAAATTCAGCTTCCTGGGTTTCTTGTTTAAAATTATGACTGGGCCTTACTTCTCTTTTTTTCTCCCAAAGGGACAACTACACACTGCAGATCAATCCCAATTCGGGCCTCTGTAACGAAGATCATTTGTCCTACTTCACTTTTATTGGAAGAGTGGCTGGTCTGGCGGTATTTCATGGGAAACTCTTAGATGGTAAGTGATTTAGAAATCTCGAAGCCGTAAGAACAGGACCGTTGCTGTCGATGCTTCTTCTTAGGTTCTTTCACATCACAGATTATAAGTAAAAGCTTCGCTGTTTCTCGTTAATGCAGTGAATAATTTTTACATTTCACCCATAACGGGGATCTTTTTCCTGGTGTCATCTTGGGTACTGAAGACAGAGTGTCTCTGGACAGCTTTAAAAAATATTTTTTAATTTAATTGTGAAGCACAGAACATTCTGTATTCATGCATTTTGTATGTTTGCCAGAATAAGTTTTCTTTAGTGAGAGCTAGATCCTGTGACAGATGGAAAAACTAATTGAAAAGTTAATTAAAATGATCTAATCCATCAATATCCTGCCATTGTTCCATTTGTCCCCAGAATTATTTTTTTAACGTGAAAAGACTAAATAATTCCAAGGTAATATTATAACTCCAGAGTCCCTGCTGAGACAGATGACACAAAATCACTTCATCCTATTTAGAGATGTAAACCACAGGAGAATTTCAAAAGACCTTAGAGAAGTTACAGGTCAGACCCCCTGCCTGGCTATGGCTTATACAGATCTCAAAAGTCATTTCAAAAGTGCTCCTAAGAGGCCACTGTAGAAATCGTCAGTGAGGAGACATCAGAAATATTTTTTTTAAGAACGTGAGTGTGAAATGTTTGAAAATGAAAGACATTAAGATTAGAGATTGACATTTCAGTTACTGTCGAGAGAGCTATTTCCAGGGGAATTATGTTAATTGCATTCCAATAAATAATTGATCTATTTTATGATGTTTTTACTGTTAATTGCTAACTGATTTTGATCTTGACTTCAGTGAACTCCTATTTTAACGAGGAAAAAAAATCAAAAGCAGAAGAATCTCAATGATAGCATGTAGGCAAAAGGGGCGCAGGGCAAGGGTGCGTGGGGCACACTGAGTGCTCAGAGGAGAAACGAACCAGCTGGGAGTACTTTACCTTGGGGCTTTGTCACATGTGAACATCAAACACTGGGGTTGTGTCAGAAGAGCTTGGGTTGGCCAGGAGCAAAGCTCTGTGGCGGGATAATGGAGGGAGGCCATACAGGCAGGGAGCTGAGCCACTGCTGAGTGGTCCCTGCCAGTGGGTCACAGCTTACATGAGTTACAGCCACAGAGCCCACAGCTGTGCATGATCATCAGGTCTTCAGTTTCTTAAAAAGGCAAATGCCTGTCAGCAGAGCATCCTCTGCACATGTGTCTACTGCCCCTGCCCTGGGCTTTGTCCTTTCACCTGACCAAAGTATCCCGGAGTCTGCAGCCCTAAGTCCGTGCTAAGCCAGAGGCACATGGGCCCGTGCTGCAGGCACTGGGGTGCAGGTGAAGCAAGAAGGGGCCAGGGCCACTGGAGGAGGCGTGTGATGCTCCCTCCTTTGTGGAGGTTCCTGCTGGGGGATGTCCACATGGTGGAAGAGTCACCCTCTCTGCCATGACCTCCCTGAAGCCCCTGTCCTCGACACTGTAGGGAATGGTGTGCAGACCCAGCCTCCCTCTCCTCTTGGGTTTCCTCCGGTCGCTGCCCGAGCAATCACACTGAAAGGCCTGGGGTTTGCCTGGATCTTCAGTGACTTTTCACTGCTCTCGGGATCAGCCCTTCCCTCCAGCCCCACACAAGCTCTACCCGCCCAGCCCCTTCTCTGGCCTGGGACACCGTGCGTTTCCACCCTGACCAATAGCCAACGTGTCCCCAGTTGGTTTCTCTGTCAGGTGCCTCATTTGCATGCACACTCCTGCTTGACCTGGGGCTCACCGGTGGGTGGCCTCCGGAAGCCATTTCAGCCCTCTCTTACACCATGCCTGTTGGGACAGCCACCTTCTTCCCCCTGGACCCCCCTTTCCAGGTCCTCCTCTACTGGTTCTTGGTTACTCTAGAAGGTTCCTGATCATTCTGTCCTGGTTTCATTCAACTGGAAAACGGGTTAATCTTTTACTTCATGCTCTGTTGTACAACAGCCTCAAGGACTTGAAAATAAACGCGGTTTTTGCCATATTTTAGGTTTCTTCATTCGACCATTTTACAAGATGATGTTGGGAAAGCAGATAACTCTGAATGACATGGAATCTGTGGTGAGTAGACACACCATCATGGAGCCCTATGGATGAGTGTTGGAGACCATGTTTAAACTCAGTGATTGCTGTGGGTGTTGTTCAGTGTGAGCAACAGGGAGCAAAATTAATTAATTAATCTCCCTGATTTTTGTAAGAAGCGAATCACTGTTCAGTTTTCCTGGGATCATGGTACTTAGGATAGATACACCAAAGTCCAGTTACTCCCATTTACCCAGCACAGGACTTGTGCAAACAAATTACATTTAAGAGGTATCTGGAGACCTCACTGTAGCCTGTCTTCCATCCTGCGAGTGCAGAGTGCCTAGAGATTCCTCCCTGTCCTCTGTTCCTTGACCTCAGAAACATGGCAGTGTAAGGCCGCGACTACAGGAAGAGTATGCAGTTGTGCTAGCTGTGGAGGATGAGTGCCCACGCAGAATGGGGGAGTCAGGGTGAGGGCCTCCCTAGGGTGGTCTGGGTTTTCACTTTGCACTGAACTCACTAATCTTGCTGGAACTGGCCATGTTAGAATAGATAGGATTTTCTACAAAAGCCAAAGCCAACTTTGTTTTCATAGTATACCCATGCTTGTGTTTTTCTCTCAATTTACCTGTACCCACTTTCTACCTCTGGAGTGTCTGGGTGTTTGTCCATGTGCCAATACAGGCACGGGGCCATCAGGATGCATCTTTTATTCACATGGGGTATTTGAAACTTTGCCCAAGTTAGAAATTCTACCTTCTTCAGTCTTTTTTTTTCTTTCAATTATTTATTTTACTTGTCGATGGACCTTTATTTTATATATTTTTTCATATGTGATGCTGACACTTGAACCCAGTGCCTCTGGCATGCTAGGCATGTGCTCTACCACTGAGCCACAACACCAGCCCCTTTTTTATTTTTTACATCATGGACCTCCCTCAGTCTTGCTGGTGGGTGTAGTGACTGTCCCCTCTACTCCTTGGTACATGAGCATGTCCTTGATGCTGACCAGGACTGAGCAGCTGCTGCTTCTCTCACCGTAGGAAAGGAGAGAAGGCCTTGGCCCCTGCTGCATGCTGTCAAGACTGGGCTGGGGACACAGCCTTAGGTGCCATCTCACTTCTCCTTGTGGTCTTTGCCTTTGCTTATGATCTCACCTCGTGTTATTGCTGTATTAAAAAGAAGCAAGGGACATAGAAATTGCTCTTAAAGTCTAATTTTGAACTCTGTGGTGACAGTGTTTTAGATGCAGTGTGCATATTATCTTGGCCTTTTCAGAGCCTGGTTGTCCCCAGCAGTAGAGACCCTGGGCCTGAGCAGAGTAGAGCTGGTGGCCCGTGGCGCTCCTACTCATTTCTGAAATCAGAGTCGCCTCCCTTTTTGCTTTAATTAACTTGCAGAGATTCATGAAAGCACAGGAAGGGATGGAATCTGTAAAATCAGTGTTCAGTTAGAACCATCTCTGTCCTGCCCATTTTCCTCTGTTTTTACACTTAAAAGCTGGGGAGTGTATTGCTCTGTGCATGTTGAGTTCTGTAGACCTGGACCGTCCAGCTGCTCTGACGCCCTCTGCAGTGGGCATCCTCTACCCATTTCACAGAGGACAGGAGTCAACTACAAACCCCTGTTAACCCTCAAAGAATACAATAATTACTAATAGGGCATTATGTAAAATTGTGGATGTGTAACCGACGTGATTCTGCAATCTACATTTGGGGTAAAATTGGGAGTTCATAACCCACTTCAATCTAATGTATGAAATATGATATGTCAAGAACTTCGTAATGTTGTGAACAACCAATTAAAAAAATGAAAATAATTAATTAATTAAAGGGGAGGGTGGGTTGGAATGGGGCAGGCACCATCATATTAGTGAACAGTGTAAATTCTTGAGCATGGAGTTATATTAAAAGGACTTGAATGGAGTCAGATGAGTTTGTGTTTTTAATTCTATACTTTCTGTGTCGTTGCTGTAGGATAGTGAATACTACAACTCTTTGAAGTGGATCTTAGAAAATGATCCTACTGAACTGGACCTCATGTTCTGCATCGATGAAGAGAACTTTGGGCAGGTACGTGGGGGAAACACCAGGAGCCCTTTGGCTTTCAAAGAACATTCTCTTTCATGGGCTCTATCGCTGCTTTCCTGGACAGTTAAGAAGGGCCACCCAGAGCTCAGGTGCTCATTATCACCTCACTGTGGCAGCACCTGCCTGTTGTCCCAGGAAGCCAAGTCCTGGTTACGGCCCCTTCTCTTCCCTACAAAGTTAGACATTCAAGAGGCCTCCAGGGCATGCATCAGCCTCTCTGTGCTCCAAAGCCAATCCTTGGTCTTAGCATTGAGGTGTTCAGTGATCCTGTGATCGTTTTACTGCGAGGTAAACACCTGCTGAGGGCACAGGGTTTTTTCTCTGCAGTTCTGTTATCCTGCTGGAATTTGTGGGCTTGGGTTTGTCTTCTGTTCTTCTTGCTGTGCTCCCATGTGGCCATCAGGCTGGATTCATCATAAAAGTCACTTTCAAAGACACAGCTGCCTGCTTGGGGTCTTCGTCACCGTCCTGGGGCCTGGAGGGTGTGTTTGTCTGAAACCTGAAAGTGTCAACTTGGGACTTGGTTGTTGTCCAGTAATGAGATCGGGGTGAGGGACTTCGGGTGTCATCTGCTCCTGACCAAAGCCCAGAGAGATTTCCCATCTCCAGGACCAAAACTGGAGATTTTGGCCTTGAAATTAATTAGGTCATGGAGCCCATTTTCAGGGTTGCCATATGGAAAACAAAATAGATTTATTTTTTTTTTTTGCCTGGGAGATTATTGAAAGTGAACTAACTCCACGACACTTCTTGTTTAAGCTGTCCCTATTTAAGAGTCTTAACTGCCCGTTTTCAAGACCAGCCTCAGCAACTTGGTGAGACCCTGTCTCAAAAAGGGCTGGGGGTATTACTCAGTGGTCAAGCACCCCTGGATTCAATCCCCAGTACCCGTCCCGCAAAAGAGTAGCACATAGATGGTTTTCCTAGATCACTGTATATCTTCGTTTTTAACAAATGAAGGAAAGGATGGCACCAAAGACAAAATGAATCTTGTGTGTCACGTGCATGCGAGTACCTCTTTGTGTATTCTCCAGAGAAAACACATAAACCCGCGTACGCAGAGTAGTTCAGAAAACTGTTAGCCGTGTCCGTGGTTGAAGTAAACAAGCTGGGAATCTTTCTTCAGTTGTAGTTGGATGTAACTATTTCTACTTAATAAGTGAAAACTAGACAGAGGATGTTGTATTTTTAAGTAGACTTCAGATAGAGATTCTGTTTATCATTATACTTGATGCTAATTGTTCACTATAAACAATTGAACCACCTCCTTTAATGCCTTGGGGTCTTTTGACTTTGGGTAGAATCAGGGTAGAGAGACGCAGTCAGCACAGACCCAGGAGATGATCAGGTGCTCAGTTTGTCAAATTATTGCCTTCCCCTTTCAGAGAGCTAACCTGATGAAAAGGGGTTCATGTACCTACTTTCCATTCTGGGCAGGAATTTAGAGTGAATTAAGCTGCCAGATATTGGTCTCTCTTTCCCTATTCAGCCCACACAGAGCCCTGTTCATGGCTCCTCCCAGAGATGCCTCCCATCTGTTCCCTGTCTCTACACCACTAACCCCCAAGTCCAAGCGTCTGTCTTCCCAGAGACTCTTTGCCAGTCTCTCTCTACTTTGGCTTCTCATAATGGTGCAGTGGTCTTTCCAGAATGTAAAACCGTTCTGCTGTTTCCCTGCCAGAAACCTTCAGGGCTTTCCCAGTGCCTCGAGGTAAAGCTCCAGGTCTGCCCTTTGTCCCGTGAGGCCCTGCGTGGGTGGCCTGCTCCTCCCCCAGAGGAGTACCGCAGACCTGCTGCTCTCACTTTCTGGGTCAGCCCCACTGGCAGCCTGGAGCCCACTCAGCTGCTTCCTGCCTCAGGACTTGCTCATGCTCTTCCTTCGGCTGGGAACATGCTCCTTCCCACTCTCGGAGCAGACATCCCTTCTCTGGAAAGCTAGCTCTTGACCACAGGCCATGTACGTCAGAGGATCTTCGTGTCGTCCTAACGGTGCGAACCACAGTGAACTTTGCATTTCTTTGAGTATGTATGTGACATCTGTCTCTGCCAGACTTCCTCTTGGTGACGGCAGCTGAGTGCTGCCTCTCTGGCACACTTGCCATTAGCTTGGTGCCTGGCACATGGTAGACACTCACACGTCAGTTGTTGAAGCAAAACTGCAGGCACTGGCAAGACATCTGTCCAAGCCTCATGCCTCTTTCCGCCCTCTGCAGAACTGGTGGCCAGGCACTGCAGTTGATCTAACATGAAGAGGTCCATTCCTTGCAGATACCAAAAGAAAAGTCACGTTCTCCATGGAGTGGAGGGAATGCAGTTGCCATGGTGAAACAGAGACACAGTCAGCCTTCCACCGGGTTCTGAGCTGTTCCCTTTCTCATTTCATAATCAGAAGTGTCAGACCATGAAGTCTGGTAGCTGTTGATCCGAGTAACAGAGCTGCAGCTGTTTGTCATTGTTGTACAGGTTTCTTTCTGGCTGATGAGAATCTGGAGCTGCTCATTTCTGGGGCCTATTGTGTTTCCACTGGAGAACTTTCGGTATCTGAGTGGTTGTCAGACACTAAGCAAGAAGACCAACCATGCACCCAGGACTCAGACATGCACACGTGCACACGTTATCATGCTTTGTTGTGCACTGGCAAAGCAGATCCATGTGGTGCTTTGGAGAGGCTCTGGGGCATGGGTCTTCAAGGAGCTGGGCAGGAGGCAGGGGGCAGCAATTTCTCCCCAGCCTGTCAGGTGAAGGCATGCTCTCTCAACAGGGTGATTGCCCCAACTGCTCCTTGGAGACCGAGGCAGAAGGATTGCAAGTTCAAGGCAAGACCCTGTCTCAAAATAAAATTTTAAAAGGGCTGGGGATGTATGGTGGAGTTCTTGCATAGCCTAGCAGGTACAAGGCCCTGGGCTCAGTCCCCAGCAACACACACACACACACACACACACACACACACACACACACACACACACACACACACGAGGTGGGGGGGGATCAGAAAAGGAAGAAAATTGGTCATCTCAGATGCTGCAAGGGCTCATGGCCACCCCAGGGTCTGTAGCATGTAGCACAGGTGTGCCTTAGATCCACGTATTCGGATGTCACGGACATAGGTAAGTCATCCAGGTAGGGATTGTGATGAAGTAAAGGTTGAGAACACTGGGTTGGGGGAAGGGAGCGAGTGAAAAGATCAAAATGAGGACTGTGAGGTGGAGGGAAGGGGATGGCAGAGCCAGGAAGACCCAGAGCAGGAGTCTGGAGTGGTCTCTTAATATCGGGTCAGTCAAGGGACAGACGGATGCAGCTGAGGAAATTTGAAGTCAGGCAGGAGGTGACACAGAGACCTCAGTGTCTGTCAGCTGGGGGAGCATAGGGAGGGTGAGGTAGGCCTGGCCAGGGATGGCAGGGCAGGGCTGTGGGCTCTGACTGCCCCCGAGGCTGCAACCTGCGGGGCTGTACACACCAGCAGGGAGCCAAGTCTAGCACTCAGCACCCAGGGATGGAATCTTAGAAGCACTCAGACTTCACTCTGCCCAAGTCCAACAAGCTCAATAGGATCCAAACTGTCAGCTAAGGGGGTGTCTACTTCTATGAGGGTCACACGTCATCTTGTTGTTTCCTCTGATCTTTTATATTTTTTGTGGTGCTGGGGATCAAACTCAGGCTTGCATCTGCTAGGCAAGTACTCTACCATACATCCCCAACCCTTTTTATATGTATATTTTTTATTTTTACTTTTATTTTGAAACAGAGACTCACCAAGTTTGCCTATGCTGGCCTCAAACTTGTGATCTTCTGCCTCCGCCTGCCAGGTAGCTGGGGTTATAGGTGTGCACCATCAGGCTTGGTTCTTCTGGTCTTTATGAGGAAGAGAGAAATTTATGATCAGGGCACTAAACTTAAAGAAAAAAAAATAGGAGTTTTTCTACAAGCACTTATTGAGCACCTCCTACATGCCAGGCATCGTGTTAGTGTCCTTTGTCTTATATTCTTCAGGACTTCAGATCCAAGAGACTGACAACGCTGGCCCAGAACGCTAGTGTCAGGGTGGAAGTGTGTATTTAAGAGAGTGGGGAAATGGACGAGGTCAGCAGGAATTGGCCCCACAGGGGAAGGAATGAAGACCCAGGAAGGGTCGGGAGTCAGCACCACTGATGATTTGAACTGAGAAGCCTGCACAGGGACCTGGGGGCCTCGCTCCAGGATAGTGCCTTAGGGTGCAGATCAGCAAACCACCCTTCCCAGGCCCACCCGTGAACACCCTTCGCCACCAGCAGAATCGGCTCTGCCACTGAATGGGCACCACCGACTATTGCCACGTTATTTAGCATCAATAGTCTTGGTTTTCTTTTTTCTTTCATAATTTTATTAGTTTGATCAAAAAAAAAGCTTATAAAAATAAAGTCTGTATAATAAAAATATCTAAAATTTATATAAATTATCTCCAATATCTCAAGAAAAATCATGGTGAAAATTTTGATTTGTATATTCTAAAATTATTCTCTGTAAGCACACAGATGAGTTTTGTTTCTGTTCATTTTTATGGAAGTGAAATTGTACCGTGCCCATAGTGTTTAACATAGTGTATCACAGATAACTTTCCATGTCAGTAAATATTAATCTATGTCATGTTAAGGGCTACACTTTCCATTTTTTTTAGATGTACCATATATTTTTAACGTCCTGTTGGAAGGCATTTAGCCTTCATCAGTATTTACTATATGAACATATAATCCTGGGATAATCATGCAAGCTATGTAATCTTGGAATGTACATTTATATTCTTGATTAATTTCTCCTTTGATATAAATTCCAAAAAACACACATTAGGAAAAGTTATATAAATACATACACACACATAAATCTTGATGCCTACTGCCAAATTACCTCACAAAAGAATTGGACCAATTGGACTTTGCCAGCATTTAGGGAGAACCATGTCCCCACACTGAGTAGCTCAGGCTCCTCCTAGGGATGTAACTTCGTTTGTCAGTTTTCAGCAGTATGAGTTCCTTTTTGGCTTGGGCTAAGGGGCAGTCAAATGTGAGACGAAGGGTTTGACCTCAGTGAGTTGCCTGCAGTGAGCTGGGAGAAGAGGTGCACGTTCCTGAGTCATGCAGGAGGCAGCAGAGAGGTACCCCATGTCTGTGGCTGACCCTCTCATTCGGTGGCACCCTGGAATTCACAACTCCAGAGGCCCCCTGGGGGCCCCTGTAAGCAGAGCAAGGGAAGGTTGAGTCCTGGAAGGAGTGTTAGCCCAGGGATTGTGGGTGTTATTTACGCTCCCTGCCTAGACTGTTCCAGAGGTGGGGAAGAGTGTGTCTCGGGAGAGGTGAGCTGCCCTGAAGGCCTGCCCTGTATCAAGTGGTGGGCTTGGATTATTAACCTGTTAGTGGTGTAGGTCAGGTAGAAAACCTCCGTTCCTGAAGGGAACAGCAGGCAACCTTAGAGGAGGACTAAATGGAGGAAAAAGAAAAATCAATGACACTAAAAACGAGTACAGAAGGTATAAATGAACACTGTCCACAGATCTCAAAAAAAAAAAAAAATCTGGAAATGTTTTCCAGGAAATACGCCTACACCATTGTCCAGGTGAGAAATGGTGTCCTCCACAGGGCAGGAGCTGGAGGAAGGCAGCAGGAAAGGGAGGTGGAGCCATTGGAAGGGTTTGAGGAAAATGAACAGAGTTAGAATCTGCATCAGGCCAAAAGTTGAATTCACTATAGAAAATGGAATTCAGTCATGTGATGGAAAAGTGAGATCCCTTCCCAGAGGAAGAGGGAAAGGAAAAAAATACAATGATGGATGCGATTGATGATGCCACCCCCGTGTGAACAGGAGTGAAAATTGAGACAAAAGACTGGGACACAAGACTGGGTGTGCAGGGCAGGGTGGGAAGACGGCTGGAGCAAAGGTCCGTGTACACACCGGAGTCCTGTCCCTCTTATGGCTAGAACTCAGATACCTGCTATGGAAAGCTTCCTGCAGGCTTGATGACTCTGTAATACAGCTGGGTGGGTGGAGGAGGAGACTCCAAGAGATCCCCCGGAAATATCCTTGTGGCTGTCTTTTAGCAGGAGAGTTGTTTGGGGGTAAGTTTTTTCCCACCTCCTTTGTTTGAAAATTCCTCCAGTGAGAATGAACATTTTATTTTTAAATAAAAGGCGTCTCCCTCTCCTCTCTTGTGCTAGGTCTTGCATCATATGTACTGACATAAAGCCAGGGCTGGGTCAACACCGATTAGAAACGGGATGGCTTGATGTCAACAGCTTTGTTCCCTCATCCAGGGTTGCTCTGAGGGAGAGCACCGTAGGGCAGAGAGCAAGAAGTGTCCTAGTGCAAATAACTGTCTGCAGCCTGGCTTTTCAAGCTGCTTTCTTCCCTGTGTTCTTATTTTAAAGTCCCTGTCTTTTGCCTCTTTGCAATAAATTCCATGCATCCTTTTTTTTTATGCAATAAATTCCATGCATCCTTTTTTCTTATAAAATTTAATTTCTAGACACGGAATGCATTAGAATTTGGATCTCTGGTTTTGATACATGCGCTCTGTCCTTTTTTCTTTTCAACATAATTAATTTCTCAATGAATAGCAGATGAACAATGTTGCTCTTCTCCATTGTTGCTAATGTATGAAAGATAATTAAAACCATAAAATAATTTGCCATCAATGATAACGTCTTTAATTGTGTAACGTCTCAGCAGTTTCAAAGCCTCATTAGACATTCTCATACACACAGAGCCCATTTTTGGGGAAATATTTTTTAATAATTTTTTTCTTTTATAGCAAAATATTATTTAATACACAAAATAACTTCATTATGGTGATCATTCTTTCTTTGATTACAGACATACCAAGTGGATTTGAAGCCCAATGGGTCCGAGATAATGGTAACAAATGAAAACAAAAGGGAATATATTGAGTACGTATACATATATTTACAAATATTTCTGGTAATAAATTGAAGAACATAGTTGGTTGACATCCCCTGCCAAAGCAGCTCATGTGTGTTCAATTGGTCTTTAGTCACTTTGCACGATATGAGCTCCTTTTGACCTGGGCGGGTTGAATGTGGGATGTTGAATATGGAAAGGAGATTTTTGTCTTGTGACTTCAGTGAGCTCTGCTATCAAGGAGAGAGCAGGGAGAAAGGGTGTAATTGTTGAGAGATACGACAAATATCTTTTTTTTTTTTTTGGAGTATATGGGTATCATCTAAAATTTAGAATTGCAACAGTGGAACCCAGTGGCAGGAACTAATTAGGTAAAATAAGCAACTACCAGAGATAAAATATTTTCTCTCTTGGTTTCTTTTTTAAAATGAAAACTTAGGAAAATAATTAGAATGGATTAGGAAGAATTTCACATGCATAAGCATAATGAAATGCTTCTAATATTTGTAATATTCTTAACCTAGTCTCTCTGGTTTGGTAGAATAATGTTAAATTCTCTTGGAAGTCCAGCTCTTAAGCAGTCCTAGGTCATTTGTACGAGGCAGAAGGTCTTTTGGTTGGGTATGTTACATTGTCATTTTGGGTATCGCTGTGTGGTTCAAACACACCATTCTGGGTTCTTCCAAGGATCTCCAGGCTGCCAGGTGCAGGGATGAGGTCAGTGCAGCAGCATTTGGTTCTGGGGCCCTAGTTTCCACCATCTGTGGGTCACAGCAGTGGCCTGAGTTTGTTTTGTGTACAGCACTCCTGTGTTTCAACAAGCCGGTGCCCTTCATTCTTCTCACCTGAAGTTGATCAAGGGGCTTGCATTGAAACCATGGTCTGAGGGTCTCAGCATCTTTAACTATGATCTGCAAAGAAAACCTGTGCTTCCTGATTAGGAAGAAATAGTGCTGCAGTCTCTACTAGGAAACCCAGAGAAGAGAACCATCCCACAACAGGCTTCTCTACTCTCAAGTTGAAACCTTGTTGTGCTTAATAAACTAGATGCAACAGCTCTTCCCTGTCCCCATTAATTGGCATACTTGTTCTGATCTTAGACAGTTTTAGCGGGTAACACCATTGTCTTCCTTAGGAAAGTACAAATGGTGAATAGTTTTTTTAAAATGCTCCAGCCCAGGACACTAAGACCTGAAGTTTGAGGGGAGTGACGTGTGTGTGTGTGTGTGTGTGTGTGTGTGTGTGTGTGTGTGTGTGTGTGGTGCATCACTCTTTGCAGATAATTATCCTGGGGTTCAAATGTGGTGAGAGCCAGGGCTCGGCCAGGGTTTCAGCTAGCTTCACTGGGGAAAAAAAAAAAAAAAGTACGATGGAAATCTGTAACTGCTCCCTGGCCCTGCTCTCTGGGCTGATGACTGGCTGCAGCCCAGTTTTATAAGCAGTGACTGAACATGGGATATGCAGGCTGCTCCTCAGGGGCCATTGCTGTGTGTTACCAGCCCTGTGTGAGGACAAAATGTCTTTAATGAAATCCAGAGTGGATTTGCTTTGTGATCAGTTCTGCCCAGACCACTGTCACAGGGAAAATGGTTTAAATAAATTTCAGTTACTTTAAGTCTTCCAGTTCCTCCTCCAAATTTTGATATTAGAGGATTGGTGCACATGATAATGTACTCCCTCTACAAAAAGCACATCTATATGTATGCACGTGGGTGTGTGGATGTGTGTGTATGGTACACACATACCTGTGTGCTTGTCCCTCATGATCTTTTCTCCCTTCTTCACATATCGGTGACATTTGATTTGATCAAGTAAGGTTGGGTGGGGGTGGGGGGCAGTTATGCTTTGGAAATCCTCAGTGGGATCTTATATTCCTCATGAGTGTCTCAGTGCTTCTTGAACAGATTCCTGAATCAACAGTGGGTGCACAACAGCAGACCCCTTTTGCCCCACTGTTAGAGGGGTTTCTGTCCCTTTCCCTGCCTAAGGAGCAACAGTCCCCATTGTAAAACAGCAGCGAGCCCTGGCCATGAGGGAGGTGGCTGAGCGTGTGCCCTTTTCTTCTGCAGCTTAGTCATCCAGTGGAGATTTGTGAACAGGGTCCAGAAGCAAATGAACGCCTTCTTGGAGGTGAGTGCTCCTCACGTCCTGGTTGAGGGAGGTTGGCGGGTCTCCTGCAGGTGTGCTGGAGCTGAGCATGCGCTGAGTCACTGGGAGGGTGGGGACACCCCAAGGAAGGCCACCCTGCCCACCCCACACCTTGCCCAGTCTCCAGGATGAGGGTCTTCAGTAGTGTGGCGCCATTTTTTTTTTAAGTGTTCTCTTGCTTTGCTTCTCTGATTTTCCAATTTGCTTTAATGGCTTCAAGAAGACTTTTTACACCCTTGAGCTAGAGCCATCATCTAGAAGTATCAGGCGGCACCCACAAGGAGTCTACCTACTACTGTGATGCCATAGTCTAAGTAGCTTGAGGACTTGGGCTGAACATGTGCAGGGTGTTTCCCATCAAGCCATTCCTTCCTGGGACATTGTGTTCCCCTTCGTTGGCTGTGCCCTTCTTTATGCCCGTCTTAAAATTCCTCGGGGATGCCCTCCTGTTCAGGGACACGGATGGCACATTTTTGTCAGTGGGGTCTTACCTGGTACCTGTGCCCACTTCTACCCTGGGAAGGAAGGAAGCAGGCACCTGCCAGATCCCAGTGCTCAATGCTGGGGTTGTCACCAGGCCCCTTCTGAAGATCCCCTAGCAGAGGCCGAGGGGTTCCTGTCTGTAAGAGATGTTTCATGTTGACCAAAAGTGAAATCCTTTTTTAAATCTGAGTGTTAGTTGTTTAAAAGACAGTAGAAGAGGGCTGAGGTTGTGGCTCAGTGGCAGAGCACTTGCCTCACACATGTGGGCTCAATCCTCAGCACCACATGAAAATAAATAAACAAAATAAAGTATTGTATCCATGCAAAACTAAAAGATATTTTTTTTTTAGTAAAAAGACAATAGAAGAAAGCTCCAGCCGCACATAATTTCCAGGAACAGATGCGGCTCTCTTGGTGGCAGAGCTCTTCAGCCAACCCTAGCTCAGTACCTGCTCAGGAGTAAGGAAGTCCTCACGAGGCAGGACACAAAACTTCAGGTCTCAAGGGACATAAAATGTGAGGACAGTCTTGACAGGGGCACATTTCAGACTTTATTTAAATAAGAAACCCCAGGACACAGATTCCCAGGCCCCACCACATGGTCTACCCTCTGGGAGCCCAACTTCCTCCCAGCACAGAGAGGCTGGTGTTGCCTCACGCCACTGCTCAGAGTGGGGGTGTGCTTCATCTCTATGCCTTCACGTTATTTTTAAATGTGTTTCTTGTGTGTCCATGGCTTGTACTCCCTGGCTCACAATGGCTGTGTCATAAATGGCTTTTGCAGTTCACCTGCCTGCAGTGTCCCATGCCATCATAGGGTTTTAAATATTAACTACCAGAACCTTCTAGACTCCGTGACTTGGGGAAAAAATTTTGTGTTGTGACTTTGCAGTTTGTATGGGAACTATGGTTAACTAGATACTGTCACTGACGTAAGAAACATCAATAAGGAATGAGTTTTACCTAAGCAACCAAAAAGAGCTTATGTTTTCTGTAAAACGGGTCTTTTTCGAGGAAAAAAAGGTGTTTAGGGTGATTTTTCTTTTCTTTTTTTCCTTTCAGGGATTCACAGAATTGCTTCCCATCGATTTGATTAAAATTTTTGATGAAAATGAGCTGGAGGTTTGTATTACAAACATTCTATGTAAAATAATTTTTAAATATCATCTCTCATTACAAATGATATTTTGCTATTCTCTAATCTGTCATGACCTACCGAGGAAGTTGAGATGAATTCTATTTTGCGCTTCATTATCTGATGCGGGACTAATGGATAGAAAAAGTCATCAACCATAGCGCCCATGCCCATGAGCGGGCAGTTGTGGAACGTCCCCACTGAGCTGGCTTGGGTTCGTGGCACCAGGAGAGAGAAACTGGTTTATAGCAGCACCCTGCTTTCAAGGCCAGGCTGGCCTGGCATCCCGCCTGCCTCCCCATGGGCTGTGAGCAACTCCTGGAGATTGTAGAACAGAAATCTCCTTGAACTTGACATAATTTATGTGGACTAAGGAAAAACAGCAGTGGTATTTTGATGAGTGTCCCTCTTAGCTTCTTGCTGTTGGTGTAGGTGAAAGAGGGCAACTTGAAAACCTGAGGAATATCTTGCCCTTTGTTGTTGAGAGAAACGGGAGGAGGGAAGGCGGTTGTGTCTGTTGCCAAGCGGGTGATGGCACTGGGCCATTGTCCAGGACGTATCAATGGACTGGCTTTCTGTACTTCTACCTTAAAAGTGAAGACCTCAAGATTAATGGTGTCATAGAAACCATGCCCTGTGAGCCTGGAATTGTGCAGGTGGAGTCTCTGAGGCAGGGAGAAGTGAGTCACCTCACAGGTGGACCCAGCAAGGTGTGAGCCCAGTCAGGCCTAGGAACTCAGTTTTCAGGCTTTGGGTGAAGATCTCTGTTTTATTCTAGTCCCTCTGCAGGAAGAATCATATTCATTAGTCTCTGATAAACCTTTCCTGGAGAGACGCATGATAAGCAAAGCAAACCTTAGACAGCCTGCCTCATTACACGTCTGTGCTCCATGGGCCTCTGGATGGGTGAGGCCAATCGACCTCACCTGATTTAATCAATCTGAGGAAGATGAGATGCTGTCATCCATACTAATTTGGGGGTGGGTAAGGAGAGTTTCACGTATTCAGACGAATAACCTCTCAAGGAGACAGCCAGGAAATGTGCCTATGCTGACAGGGTGGTTAAACATCCTTGTGCTTGAGTGTGGGGGAGGAGGAAGGTGACTGATGTGGTGTCCTTAATTCCTGCGTGAAATGCCATGGCCTTGTTTGAGGGTTGGAATCAAATCGCCCTCATTATCTGTGCTGTCTCTGTGACCCAGCGTGGTAGGGAAAGTTTGGAACACGAATCTGCATTCATTGGTTTTCATGAATCACTAACATACTCGCTTTCTACAGCGACAAAAGGGTAATTTTCTAGTGTAAGATGTGTTCAGCTTTCATGTCCTGCCTTCCTTACATCGGGTCAATTTCCTTAACAGTTGCTCATGTGCGGCCTCGGTGACGTCGATGTGAACGACTGGAGACAGCATTCTATTTACAAGAATGGCTACTGCCCAAACCACCCTGTCATTCAGTGGTTCTGGAAGGTAAGCCCAGTGGGCCCAGGCCCTGCTCCACCGAGTTGGGGCAGAGGGCTCACCAGTGGGCTCTCTCATCTGGCCTGACTTTACGACTGGTGCTGGAGGCTAGGGTCTGCTTGGACTTGGACCATTAGGGAGGGAAGAGCCCTGTCTAGAATTTCTGTAATGCACAGCATGAGATTTGAATCCTCATGAAAGGCCACTGTCCTTCCTTGACCACCTGTTAAAGCAACCTTGAGGAATCCATTGAGTAAGATGATTCTGAAAAGGAGTTCAGTGGTCTCCAGAGTACTGTGAAACTAGGCCTCAGAAGTGGAAACCCGAATGAGCTTTCTCAGGGTATAAACTCAATGTCAGGGCTGACTTGTCCAAGATGCCATTTTTCTGTGAAGAAACCGTTTTCTCAGTTTTGTTTTGTTTTTTTTTTAAACTAGTTCCAATTTGGATCTTTACATCTCTCAACCAAAAATGCAAATGAAAATTGATTTACTATCTTAGGGCCAACGTTTGCAACCTGTTCGGCTCAAGAAGGAAGTGAAATAGAAATGGGTTTGTTCAGACAGATGGAAAACTAACTTTAAAAAAAAAAAACCCACCCCCCCACCAAAAAAAGACATTAAATTTAAAGAGATTATAATTTCTAAAGTTTAAAAAAATTAGAAATTATTTGTCATTATTTCTATCAGTAGTTATTTCTGTTATTCATTAGAAATTATTTTATTATTTTTCAAGTACCAGCAGAAGTATGGGGAGAAGATAAAACAATCTTCCAATCCTAGATTGTCTCAGTCACCTATGACTTCTGTTTTTTTAGTTATACATGGATATGGTATCTTTATTTTGTTTGTTTTTTATGTGGTGCTGAGGATCGAACCTAGTGCCTCACATGTGCAAGGCAAGCGCTCTGCCACTGAGCCACCACCCAGCCCTCATATGTTTTTTTAATAGCAGTTCAAGCAACATCCAGATATGTAACATCACACAGATGGCTTTAGAGGCCTATTTTGGCCTCTGTTTTTCCTTCTTTTCATAAAATGTTATCTTTGGGGAATTTGCAGTCTGCAATCCTATCTCCTCACCTGGGTTCCCCTTGTGTGGACCATTCTGGAACACTATATATTTATAATTGGCCTTGAGGGAGCTGGCAAGCCTCAAACGCAGAAACCTGAGCTGGGTGCCATCAAAGAGTTTGCTTTTTATATCATTTATTTTGGCCTCTTGGCAGAAGAAGAAAGGCCTGGTGATCAGTCACTAAGATTAGAGAGGCTGGAATTGTGGCAGCCATTTAAAAAATAAAAATAAAATAAAAATACTGACTCTGTTTTCAGGGTCAACTGTCTAGGTCTTCTTCCATGGCAATATAAATAAGATTAAATTTGCCTGCCCGCATTCCAGCAGCATGTGCTGCATGTCACATGGGGACATGATGACCTTCTGCCTCTGTTCATAGGCTGTGCTTCTGATGGATGCAGAGAAGCGGATCCGGTTACTGCAGTTTGTCACAGGGACATCCCGAGTACCCATGAATGGATTTGCCGAACTTTATGGTGAGCACCATGCACAGATCCAGTTCTCCTGTGGGGTTCTAGCCCCGCGTCTCCTGTGGGCCAGGACACTCTGCCCCCCACCCCCCGAGGCCTCTGCCAAGGCTAGGAAGCCCTGTCAGGTCTGCATGCTCATATGGGTTTCATAAGGTCCTGCGTAGACACAGACAGGAAAGGGACAGTTTGCGAAGAGAACCATAGTTTTGTGTTTTCCTTTTTCTTTTCTTTTTTTCTACTTTAGTTTTTTTAGTATATCTTTAAAAACAAGGTTTCCCCTACCCACCCATGTGGTTCCAGAATCACCAGGTGATCCTCTCAAGGACGCCTCGCCTCCAGGGGGCGAAATTCCTCAGTGCTCACTTGAAAGAAATCACTCTTCCTACTGCATGTTGAAGCTCACATTCATTCATTTCCCCAAAAGCAGCTGTAGATCTACCTGCTGGGCCCAGTGCAGGGGCTGCTATGCCACTTGCACCTGGGGCAGTTCCATCTGGCAGGTGCAGCTGAGTCTGTGCCATGAGCTTGTGCCACTCCCAATGCTCCCAGCATTTAGTACTGTGCCCCTGCAAAAGGTGGTCTCACAGGAGTCACCCCAAGCCCTGCCCCAGCAGTGGCCACTGTCCTCCCGTCTTCCCTCTTCTCTGAGTGTCCCTGCGGCTCTGTCCTGCTGCCACAGGCCCTGCTGACATGTCTTGTTCTTTCCTGTCCAGGTTCCAATGGTCCTCAGCTGTTTACAATAGAGCAATGGGGCAGTCCTGAAAAGCTGCCCAGAGCTCACACATGGTAAGTGACCCAGTGCTGGAGTGTCAGCCCACAGTGTGCTGCACACTCGGCTGCGTGACGCCAGCCTAGAGGAAGAGTGCTGCACCTCCTACCCAGAAAGAGCTCAGAGCGAAATGTCAGTGTCATGATGAGTACATAAACTGCAGTAAACACCGACAGAACTGGAAGGCAGGGTCGGATTCCGCCCAGAGTGTTTGCACATAAAGGGCCAAGGCTTCCATTCCTCAGGAACCCCTCCAGACCCCACCTCCCTGACTATTCCAGGGATCAGAGATTTCATTTTTCACCATTTAGGTGTGTGGCAGCTGTGAGCCTGTCAACAGGGCTGGGTTTTGCTTCTACCTTAAATAGGTCATTCGGAACTTAGGTTAAAATTTCCTAAAGAAGCCTTGATTTCAAAAGGCCTTCTGTTTATGTTAGTAGCCCATGACCCCCCAGAATTGACTGAGATCATGGCTGGAAGAGTGTTAAGAGGTCTGTAAGTGAACCTGTAAAACATTGGCTGTGAAAGGTATTTTCCTTCTGTATGGAAAAGAATGGTTTTTCCGTTCATAGCATTCATATGACTCTGAATGAAGTGAGTGTGGTCACTGCCTGTCAGGCCTTTTTGAAGCAAGCCGAGTCCAGCCTAAAAGTGGTGAATATCCAGAACAGTCATTGTTCTGGTTCTCAGCCTTTGTTCTGGGGAAACATGTTTTGATAGTCTAGAGTTTTTATTCCTAACAGTATCAGAGTCCAGGGTAGCACTCTGGATTCTGACAGCCTTGGTTTGGAAGGCAGCCCTACAGAGCCAATCCTCAGGAACTGCAGAACTCCCAGTCTCAAGCACCAGTAAGGGTGAATATTATAAATTAGTAAATTACTGGGCAGAAACATCGTCCATGGGTCAGGCAATTTTCCTCTTGATGACAACCTCATGATACACTGTGATCATTCCCCAAGGTGTTAGGAATACACAGTCCATAGATGCCCAAATCACAGGATTTGAACTCAGGTCTGCTACAAATAGCCAGCTCCCTTCACTACACCATATCCACTGCTGTGGTTACAGCCCTTGTCCTGTTCAGTCCCTGCCCCTCATGACCCCGTGGTCAGGTACCTGACTGTCGAACTTCTTTTCAATTTCGGAGCCACGATTCAACCCGCTGACCTTAGCTGTGCAGTGGAACCACAAAGAAGGATAAACACCGATGCCAAGCTTCTGCTTGCAGAGAATAGGACCTGGTTGGTGTGGCATGTGGCCTAGGCAGTGGGACTTTAAGGAAAAAATATTTTTAAAGGTAGACTTAGGAAGGGCAAAGGTTACCTAGGAGGAAGAGAGCCCAACTGCCTCTTCCCAAAGCTGATTTTTCTGGTCTCTGTCATGAAAGTAAAGCCAGCAAACAGCTCTTCCTGCTGGCCCTCACCAGGCCAGTGAGGACGAGGGGCTGGCTCCAGGTAGGACTGCGGTACTCTGTCTGAATGGCTTCCCTCCGGCCAGGCCCCGGTGGTGGGAATGGAACTCAATGGCCACTTCTTAGTGGTTCCGCTGTGACATTCGCCATGAACATGTTTCATTTCTTCCATGTTCCATGAGAACATAAAATGCACAGACTGCAAACAGAAAATCTGATTCAGCAGAGTGAGCAGAGCTGACAGAGCTGGCCCTCTGAAGGGTCCTCGGGTGCCCCTCTCAGGTGTCTGACATTCGTGGGGCTTCAGTTCATTGTTCTGTGCGAGTCGCTCCTCAGAGGTTTAAAATGACTCTTTAATAGGAATCACAGACACCCCTGCTCTATCCGTGATCTCATTGGTTCACATACCCTTGCCTGCTACAGCCTGCTGAGGACAGGGACTGACTCCTGTCACCCAGCTCCCTCGTGGCAGACCAAGCCAAGTCTTCAACAGTAACTGGCACCTAGCACCTTCCAGGCATTGTCCCAGACACCGGATCTGACTGACCCTCATAACTGTCACAGTTCAAAGACTTGGGTCATGGGGACCCATTCTTACAGAGAAGAAAACTGAGGCTTAGACCTCAGCAGCATGATAGACCTCAGCTCTTAATCCTCCTCTCTCCATATATCAGTATTTCTTAAACTCGAATCCCATATAGGCCTCTTTTAAAAGGAAAAAATCTTCACGGATTCTCGAGAGTGGGTCTTCAGACCCTATGGGAATGGCAGACCCTGGACCACGAGCCTCCGGTGTGAAAGAGCCACGTTCTGTGGAAAGCACTTTCTGGTGCCTTTGAGAAGTGCCATTTAGGAAGTACAGAGTTGCACTCTCGATGTTTACCAGCTGCTGTGAAATCTGAGTGGGGCTCGTAAACATCTTAGGGTTAGTGGAGCCCAGCATGGAGGTGCGTTTGTTTCTGCTGCTGATGATCAGTGGTTAGCTTTTTTTTTTTTATTGTTGGTTGTTCAAAACATTACATCTAATTTGATATATTTTACAGTTTGATTCAAAAGGGTTATGAACTCCCAATTTTACCCCGTATACAGATTGCTGAATCACATCAGTTACATCAATTACATTTCCATTGATTTACATATTGCCATTCTAGTGTCTGATGAATTCTGCTCTCTATCCTATTCTCTACTATCCCCCCTCCCCTCCCCTCCTCTTCTCTCTCAACCCCCTCTACTGTAAAACACTTCTTTCACTTGTATTATTCTTTCCTTACCCCTCACTTCCTCTTGTATGTAATTTTGTATAACCCTGAGGATCACCATCCCTTTCCATGCA